ATCAAAACATATTAAAGCTTACTTTTCTGACCTAAAAACAAAAATTTTCGTAAAAATCTTTATATATAGGGGGTAGGATATACGAGGGGATGGTTAAAATTTGGGTCAGTGAACTTTTTTACCTTAAAATTATGATCTGATTTTTATCAGGAAACAATGACAATTATACTTTTTTGTTATATGAACTTCAGTTTTCGTTATATGAGAGCCGGTCCAAAGTTTTCATACTAACTTAGAATGCCGAACTACAATTACTTAGTTACTTTTGGCGAGATATGTAGAAAGTTACAAATTTTCCCATTTAACGGCTTTTCAAAATAGGGCATTACATGGGGAGTGGTCGAAAAAGTAGACCAAATGAAACTATTTTCAATAGCGTTCGTTCTTAGGTCAAAACACGTGAGTGTAGCAAATGTGATCAAAATAACTCCAAAATTGCGGCCTGTAGCTTGAATATAAATTTACATGGATATATATCAGATGGATAGACAGACGGGCAAACAGTCTTAGATCGAGTTACAAAATGATTCTGAATCGATCGGTATCATAAAAGGTGGGTCTATCTTAAGCGCTTCTGCGTGGTACACATGCCCGCACAAACTTAATATACCCTGTACCACAAATGATATAGAATATAACTAATGAGAAGTTTAAAACCTTAGTCATAAGTTTGTTTGTTATGTTCCTTTCGAAATTTTTCACATTTATACTGTACACCACTTTTGGTAAGTTTGTGCGGACGATTTCAACATCAACATCCAGAAGAACATGGGAGAGAACTAGCTTTTACTATACCGATCAATTCAGAATCATTTTCTAAAGCGATCTGAGTTTCTCTGCCCGTCTGACGTATGTGCATATACTTTTGTGTTCAGCCTACAGTTTACAATTTTCTAAATATTTTTATGAACTTTTGGTACATTCACAAGCGACGAGAGATCCTATTAAGTATATATGTTCTTGATCAACATGACATTCTGAATTGATCAAGCCATGTCTGTCCGTCTGTACACCCGCATGTCTATGTGGTGTGTGTTGATGGCATTTTCCTGGTCGTAAAAATGAAGATATCGACTTCAAATTTGCTAGAAAGATAAACAGTTTTTACACAGGCTGGTATTGAAAATGGACCAAATTGATCAGAGGACAAACCCGCAGTGAAGCATAAACTGAGCTCAACTCCGTTTTTCTTAACAATAATTTATGCGTTTTTGCTCGTTACTCAGAAATTATAAAAGTTAGAAGGCTGATATTTTCCACATTTACTCTACGAAACACTCTAACGTTTACGTGCAAAAATGGAAAAAATCGGCGATGCTCTAATAAAGTTACAAGTGATTAAATTTAACCTTTTTTTACTTGTTTGAGGTTTTATGCTCATTTATCATAAGGCAAACAAGACGGAATGCTTAAATCTATTTTGTACATTCCTCAAATGAAGAGATATTATTCGCCTAAAAGTTAAGCGGTAATTCAAAAGTAAACACGGTAGACACCGCGACTTGGTGGATTAATTTTTCTCGTAATAATACTAGCGATATGGTCATTAAATGAGACAGCTTGGAGAGCAGAATGCGGAAAGCAAAATGGTAGGCAGGCAAGATTCGGCCCCCGCCAAATTTCTTAATTGTTTTGACATAAATTCATTTTTCATATGAACAAATGCAGGACACAACACTTTCGTTCGTTGCATTAAAAAATTATTATTTTTTTGATTTGTTTTATTGTGCAAGTTTTAACGCATGACCGCTAAATATAAAATCGCTCTAAATTACAAGTTAAAATGGTACAACAACGTCTTGCATATTGCAGCCGTGTAATCTATTCGATCAACATACTCAAAAACAAAAATGTATGATTATAAACATAGCAGGTAAATTTATCACTTTACGCAAGTGTTTACTTGGGTGCAATTGTGTATGTGTAGTTAGTTAATTTCTGTTTATGTGACTAAGCGTCTACAGTATTTTATAATATCGCATGCCAGTCTGCATGTAATGCGGTGTGCATTTAAAAAGAAGAAAAGCGTTTTAAATAAGTTGTCAACTTTATGATTTTAGAGCAGAGATTTAAGCGAAGCATAATTTTATAAAAAAAATTCATTTTTGTATGAGGAAAGGAAGAAGCACTTGCAAGGACTTATTAGATCTATCGAATGTTTGCAAAGCGTGAAGTATATACATACTCTTGATTAACCTTAATTATGAACAGAATTAACCACATTCGATAGCTATAACTGGTCTCTTCTATATTTCGTCACTTAAAGAACTGAAACGGTCTTTCAAAATTAATTAAAAAGTCAAATTGCTTTTACTTATTTGATACGTTCCTGTTTAAGATATTTTGTTGCCGACTTTCTAAATTGTTCGACTTATCTATTAGTTAGTATCAGTTATTCTTAAGATCTGTAAAACACTTATCTACCGCCGCGATAGCTTGTTGTTTTCAAAATTCGCCACAAAATGAAGGTCACAAAAAAAAAGTTTCATGGATACGATAGATAAACGTTAGTAAAACTTGCTTTAATAACTTTTCTATTGTAAAATAACAGCGTTAATGGACTGCAAGTAGTTACGCAAATCTCGTGGCAGCTTCATCAAGTAGATACAAGCCCACATCAACATATTTCAAGAATGGCTCGACAAGTGAGTAATAAAAGTTAATCTGAGATCATTCATAGTCCTAGAATACGTCATGCAAACACGTAAAATATTTTGAAATCTATTTCGACCGACACCTTACTTGGACATAAATGCCATGTATTAGTGACTTACGGAACAATATATATTCTTAGTCAGTGTAAATTAGGGCGTCGATTTGCCTACATGTTTCGGTTTACGCGTTCCTATGTCATTTGTTATTGCAACTATTTCGGCAGTAAAACTTGTGACAAAAAGTTGAAGGTAAACATCTACCGCTTCATTTGATGGCTGCGGATCAAGTTAGAAAATAGCCATAATTCGTCCACGCAAATGTATTATAATTCCTAAAGCATATACACATATTACGTACTTTAAAAAATAAGTCAGTTTTAGCAAAACATTGTCTCGTGTTTACTTAAGGAAATGAAGCAATGAAGAAATGAAGCATATGTAACTGCACCTATTTATATAATTATATTAGCATAGCAATTAATCAATTGATTATATCGATAAAATTCAAATCTCTTCAGTTATATCTTTAAACTCCTTTAAGCTCTAAATACTTCTCATGGTTCAAGCTTTATGAAATGACGTGCAGGCGTTTAAGGTGTCTACCAATGAATTTTCCCGTTATATAAAAACAGATTCAACAAAATTTTTATATTTATAACTATTATTTTTGGAAACTATTTTGTATATGTCTACTTTTTTCTGAAAAAATGCCATTCCCCTAGCCGTGCAAGAAAAAAGTTAGGTTCGGATTTCTAAGTGTGAAAGATTTCACATTTTCAAAGAATAAACCTAACGATCCCACAAATATACTCGCAATAAGCAAAAAAGTGTATATTAACAATATAGGGGAAATCTTCACTTGAAACGTGATGTAAACGCGAAACCATCCACATTGCGTCAGTCCAATTAATGAAATGCTTTACAAACCTTATATATGTATTAGTTTGAAGGGATTAATACTACGGGTTTGCTCTTGCCAAGACAGATGTGAATTCCGGTTTTATTTCTATCATCTTGAATCACTGAATCTTTATTCAGACAAGCAAAATATGAGATTATCCAAATGAAAGATATGTGATGCATTGCATCAATCTAAATAAACTTTCTTACTAAACTTTAAAATATAAAAATGTTTATAACATCTTTTAAAAGCTACTCGTTAACATTTATAGTTCAGGATAGAGCATAAGTTGGGTAGACATCAGTCGAAAGGTAGGCACTCCCAATGCTTTGCTAGAACTGAAAAACAATTTGTCAGCGAAAAATTACAGTATTTTTCACCTTTTTTTTTTTAAGCCAAAACTTGAAGGTAAACAATGAGTTCCTCTGCTTGTTTTCGATTAAAAGTTTTTGCTCATAAAAGAGTTTTTTTTTCATAAGCAGACATCAATTTACAAGTTATTTTCCCCCATATACCCGTTTGCCAATGTTTCGCGTATAAGTTTGATCAACGCGGCATTAGAATGATGTCTCCTTTTCTCAAATTAATTGCAAAGTTGACAAATAAAATCTTTTGTTGTCCTTTTAGACAACATAAGCGCAAGATTTTCGAGGAATATTTATCGTATGAGAAAACTTAATGTTAATGCCTGCATGGGTAAATGATTTTTGTACCCATCACCGAAGGATGAGGGATGTATTGATTTTGTCAAAACGTTTACAACGCCCAGAAGGAAGCATGAGGAACCCCACAAAGTATATATGTTCCTGATCAGAATCAATTTCTAAGTCGATTTAAGTATGTTCGTATGTCCGTCTGTGTAATGTCTGTTGTAAATGCTCTCCTGGCCGCAAAAACGAAACTATCGACTTCAAATTTACCAGATATACTAGAAGTTCTTGCAGACGGTTTGGTGTTGAAAATACGCCGAATCGATCGATGGACACGCCCACAGCACCACGTAAACTGAGAACACCTCTGTTTTTCAAAGGAAATAAAAAATTAAATTTTTGCTCATTACTCATAAACTATAACAAATGCAAAAATTTGATCGCTTATTCTATGGGCGATGCTGTAGCGTTTTAGCACAAAAATGGAAAAAATTGACCACGCCTACCCAATATTATAGTGTACCAAAGTTTAATTGTTTTTTCAATACCTTTATAACGCGTAGAAACAAGCTTCAACAACCCTATAAAGTCTACAAATTCTTGGTAGTATTTGTGGTAAACATTTTTCCGTTAGCGAAAATAAAGATATCGCCTACAAATTTGCAAAAGAATTTGGAATTAAACTAAACTTTTCAAAAGGCACGCCTACAATGCATCTACGACAAAAACGTTTATTTTGAAATTAGAAGAAATCAGTTGCTCGCATTCCACATTATAGAGCATGAACATACTTACTTCTTTCGCCTGTTTTTGGGGGTAGACGATAGGTATAAAACATTTGCTTCCGACCGAATTTAATTTTCTTACTTGTTTCTCTTTTATTTTTGTTCTTAAAAAAATACACTACACTAAACAATTTTGCATAGCACAGTCTTAGGAGCACTGTTATTGTTTAACCTTTTCAAGCTTTTTAATAAGTCTCATAATAAACGAAATTGTTCAATAATTTTTGTAAGTGTGAATATTAAAGTTTCGATACAAAACGAATACAATCGTTTCTTCAGTTTTTTTACTTTTCTACGTATGGTACGTATGCATGTTTTTTTTTAAATTCTTACTTTTTATTCACCTCAATTTAATTTTTGATAATGAATGGATGCATTTACTATTATTCATAGCTATATTTTTAGACCGGAGACATTATCAGTTTAATCACTTTCCCCTAAAGAAAACAAAATAAATGATCAGGCAGTTCTCAAAATTAGCAAAGCTTACTTTCAGATTATGTGTTTTAACATGAATAAACGGAACATATTTTCTCTATATACAATTTATTCGTAGTATTAATTTTTTGATTTATTTATATTTGGTTTTGAACTCGCACTTAAGTTTACTTATAAAATCCTAATGCAGCTACGTGCTGCTTGTCAAATATTAATACTGAAGTTATTTTTGTGTGATTTTTGTGTCAACTCTTTTAATTTGTAGCGAACAGTGTCACTCAAGGGCATTTCAAGGCCGTACCGAACTTTATATGCACATATAAACTTACCCCTTATGCACATTTATGAGGCAAATGTATATAAATAAAGTCATTCAATTGCTTTGCTCCTATAACAGATATGTGTATGCAAGTGTTTTATTATATTTTAGTATTTATAGTTGGTTAATAAAAGAAATAGCTTTTTTTGCCTATTCTATCAAGAGCAACTTTCGTTTTTTTTCTTTTTTTCAACAAAAATTTTTCAATATATATTATGTTTGTTTGTATTGTACTTGCCGGCCTTTAGATTAACAATTTTTTATGGGAGAGGTTGAGAGAATTTAAAATTATATTTTAAGTAAATTTTATTTTTACTTTATATTTAAATATATAGGTGAAAATATTTTATCTAATAGAATTCTTCAAATGTTTTACATACGTTCTTTTTATTTATTTTAATTTGGTTTTCAGTTTGTATATTATTTACAATAAAAACAAAATTTAAATTACTTGTTATTTCTGTTATCGTATTCGCTATCGGGAATTAATATTTTGTATATTAACGCACAGACAGTAGTGCACAAAGCAGTTAAGGTTTTTGTTATAAGATTTTCCCATATTTACACATTCCCCCAGCTGTTTATTATTTATATTAAGATTTCTTAACGTTTCTCTTTCTCATTGGCACTAGTAAGTGTTGCCATATTTTTTGGCATAACATTAATGTTAACGTTCGCCGCGTTCCTTTTTTTGTTATCAATTTTTAGTGCTTTATTAAAAACCATATCAATCATAGTGGTGTTAAAGTTTTCCGCTAATGATTCTTAGTCAATTACTGATTTAGAATTTCAAAAGAATTTGAAATATGTCCTTGAACTAATAAACTATAAATTATTTAATTAGCCTTACATATATTTATTTTGTATTTTAATATCAAAAAGATACTTGAAATGATTTTTTAATATTTTGCGACGCACTACAAAGCCGGATTAATTAAATAACATTTATTGTATGGATTAAGATTTGGTGTTGCTTATAAGAAATATTACATATCTTGAAAAGATTGTTAATAAACTATTAGGAGCTTGCGTTAATTTTGGCCAGCACATTGTAAAGGTAAACATGATACAGAAATGGGAAATATCAGTGTACATAGCGATTAAAAGAAGCTCGAAGACAATGAAATGCAAGCCCTATTGGACGAAAATCCAGCTCAAACTCTGAAAGAACATCTTAACAGTTGATGAATCAACTTAACAGCTTAACAGTTGATGAATCAACTGTGTCTCGACATTTACATGTGATAGGAAAGATCCAAAAGGACGGAATACGACCTGAATAAAGATCTGGCAGCGATGAAAAGCGGATCTACTATGATAATCTCAAGCGCAAAAAGTCATGGGTTAGTTCAGGGGGGCCATTCACATCAACATGGATTCGGAATATTTATGGCCATAAAGTTTTGCTGGGCATATGAACAAATTGAACAAAGTATTGTTGCAAAGGAGACCAGCAATAGCGCCTAAAATGGCTAACATACGAAGTATACCATACACCATTTTGGCACTTGTTGCAGTTGTTGTCAAGGATACACTGTTGCAGCTCAAACGGTAAGTTCTGCGGCACCAAAAATATATGTATGTAAGATACAAGAATAGTATATATATTAGATAGGACATTTCGCTAGCAACATTTGCGCAGCAGAATTATTAGATTTGCAAGAAGGCATCCGATAAAAACAAACGATATTAAAGACCGTAAGAGAGAGAGAGAGAGAGAGAGTGTGTAAAGAACTGCATTGAGAACATTTGCTGAAAGTTGTAAAACAAGTCTGCATGAGCCTACACTATGAATTTGTGTACACCATACTACGACTTTTTAATATAACTGTTCGTGAGTGTATTCACAGCCAGATGTACTTATACCCGATTGCCATACGCGTGTTATATATATAAGCATAACCGTTTACTTTTGATATTTTACTTGAACATTTTTTTATAAAGAGATTTGCTTCAAGAATTACTATTATTTTTCTATATATTTAATTATTTATTGCCAATTTGTGCAGAATTGAATCCAACCCCTCACACAAAACTGCCTGTTTAGATGACGAGACCTTCATCAACTCCCCTACAACATTGATTTCTTGCTTCAAACTGACATTTCTAGATTATTTCTAGATTTAAATTATTCTGTTCAATGTTCAGATATTGTAGAAGCATGATTTTAAATGCAAAGCCGATAGCCTGTGTTGCTAGTGCTCAATGTCTTTTTTTAGTCGAAGAATTCATTTCATTAGTCTAAAATTAAAATAATAATAATAATAAAAGCAAATAATATATAATACGCTACATAAACATTTCCTTTGCGGCAAGATATAATGGAAAAATAGAAAAAATTATAAATTTAAAAAAACAAAATAAGTAGGAAAAAATATATGCACTAGAAACTAGGAAAAACAATTCTAATATTCATTTTTTGTTAGAAAATAGATAAAAATGTAGAAAAATTGTGTTAAGGAAACATTTTACGTCTACTGATAAACAAATACGAAAAGTGAACGGTCAAACACAAAAAATCCAAGGCTAAATATTCTATTATCTTGATAGGTGTAACTGCTTATATAGGTGAAGTTATTGCTATTATATAATATATATATATATATATCTTTATGTACATATATGTATATATATGTATAATTTAAATATATATATAAGTATATATTTTAAATATATATGTTTAATATATATATACATATACAAAATATATATATATCTATATATATATACATATGTATAATATATATATATTATATACAATATAATACATATATATATATATGATGTTTATATAAACGTAGGCATTGTTAAATCCCTTCGTACTCCTATATTCTTATACGGTGTATTTTCATCTCACCTCACAAGCTAAGATTACTAAACTGGGGTGATTATCTTTACATTTGTCCATGGAAAACCCATTTTGCACATACACACACATCCGAAACAGCTTAGGCGTGAAGAATCGACTTCTGCCGCTGACGTCATGGAAACCTAAATCCGCTAGGCAACAGCAAAATATAATTGTGAAGAGACACATTCAACATTAAATTCTATGCTCGTTATAATGTAACACTCTCGTAGCGTCATATGCTAAGTCAGATATTCACCGCTAAATAGTTTTCCCAGACATGTATCATTGCATTAGTAATATCATAACAGCATAGCAAGCATGGTGAGTCGATGCGCGCCACCATTGATCTTTCTTTAGTTGTACAGCAAGAATTAAGTGGAATGTAAGTGCTCTTGTTCTTTCTTGTCTTATTTTTTTATACTTCTAGAAGGTGGATGGTTGCTTATTTTATGCAATAGGACCGTCAATAATCCCTCGATCTGAAAGATAATTGTTTCCATTCGTACGATCTACTTGTTATTCCAAGTTCATGATGATCTGATGCGGACAAGCATATTCCCTGTTAAGGACAAGAGGAGCAATACTGTTTCTTATAAAGGACTTTCTTTTTATTTATTTATTTATTTATTTATTCCACTTATACAAGAAACTCAACTAAAACAAAATGGCAGTCGAGTTCAATTGACTCTTAAGTAAATCTTAAAATTATTTAATAATAAAACTTAGTATAAGTACAATAAAACAAATAAGGAGGAAAAAAAAGAAAAAAAAAAAAAAAGCATGTACACAATTAGCATAGAGCCACGCCCACAACCGATACAGGACCAAATTGCAAGTGAACCCCTAAGCCATCGCAAACATGCATAAGCTTGGCAACCGATAATTGTTAACAACAAATTAATTTTCGACTCATAATGACAAAATCTAGGGTTAAATCAGTTTAAGTACGACATAGGTAAATCGCGCTTGTTGAGCAATATTGCTTTAATGGACTTTAAAGAGTCCGTTAATGAGAATAGATGATAGACATCATTTAGGTTCTTGCAAACAACTCTGAGCGGGTTAAACAGTTCAAAGTTATATTTGCATTCACTAAGCTTTATCAACATAAAGTACCTAGAGAAGCGGTTAGGGACATTAAAGCAAATCTCACGAAGTAATGCGGGCGAATCAATTGCACCATTTATTAATTTGATTAGGAAGGAAACCCCAAGAACAAATCTACGTTTCTCGAGTGACGGTAAGGATAACAGAAGCAACCTATTTTCATAGGGTGGAAGAGGGGAAATCGGGTCCCAACCCAAGTTCCTAAGTGCAAACAGCAAGAATTGCTTTTGTATAGATTCAATTGAACCAACGTAGCATCTATATGAAGGAGACCACACAACAGAGGCATACTCAAGAATAGGTCTAACCAAACACGTGTAAAGCCTTTTAGTAATATAAGGATCATCAAGCTCTTTGGACCACCTCTTTATAAAACCAAGAGCGGACCTAGCTTTGCTTAACGAGGACTCAATATGCAAATTGAAACGTAACCTATAATCGAATAGAACGCCTAAATCAATGAACAAATCGACGTCTTCCAACCTGTGCGAATCAATGAAGTATTGGGTACTAAACGACTTCCTTCTTAAGAAAGAAAGCTTCTTACATTTATTTAGATTTAGCTTCAGAAAATTGAGGGAGCACCATGCAACCAAATTGTTCAAATCACT